CTGCAGATGTCTTCGACACACATGAAAATACCCGGTATGAACAGCTATGAACAGATGGATGTTAATACCGAGTCTGAACAGGGCCATAGACACTAGTATCCTATGTACACTGTTTTCTAGCCTCCACACTTCTGTTTTGCCTTGTGTTTCTGGCTGTGTCTAAACACTGTGAAAGAATGTCAGAGACTAACAGATGATGTATAATGGGAGAGAAAAAGAGGACATGGGAGAGAAAAGAAAGACAGGCAGATCGTGTTGGAGAGACATAGCTAGCCAGCTAAAAGGAGTTAAACAAAGGACCTGGGTCTCCAGTCTCTGAACACTGAAGAGAGAGCTTAGAGATCAGAACAAAAAAGCCTGATTGTTTATGCTTATAATATAATCCAGATCAGGTGAAATGCAGTCATATAAAGGCAATTTGGTAGAGCTGCGACAAGGAGAAGAGGAGGAACTTTGAGAGACAGAATACTGAGACACTCAAGTAATGTAATGGTCTGAGAATGTTACAGAAAAAGACCCCTGAACACCTGTCTGTCAACCATACTTTCCATCTTCATGTTATAATTTATACATGTAGAATAAATAACTTTGGAATTAACCCCCAAACAAAATCAAAGTGCATGCCCAGAACACCATTAACAAACAAACAGGCCAGCTATTCCTGGATATTACACACATTAATCACATTTACAGACCTGCAGAGCGGATCTGTGATGACTATAATGATGAAACTACCCTACCCATGGGGCAGCTCGGGAACCACACCATGTGGCTACAGTAATTAATTACCGCATTAAACCAGAATGTGTGTGAGCATGTCTACTGATATCTGTCCTCAACACAATTTCCCCCCCCCCCTTACGGTCAATGGGGTGTTAAGTTACATAATTGTAAGTCAGTAATTTATTTTCTTGAAGGCTGTAAGTCACACCCCTCCAATCACAATTAAAAATACTGATCTCAGGTTTCATATTCATATCTTTAGTTGGTCACAAAAAAATACTTATGGAATATATAGTAAATAACACATTTTATGCAAAAAATTGGTCTAAAAATATGTCTCAATGACTTTTCTGTAAGAATGATGCATTTTCTGGAAGCTACATAACTGAATGTCTCTCCATTGTTGCGACTCAAAGGCTGCAAATCACTTCATTTATACTTATATTTATTTCGTTAGCTAGGACAGCAAAATGCAGCTTGCAAGCTAGCAAGCTAGCAAATAAAACATCCTGTCAGAGACTCTTTAAACAGGAAGGGGTTCTTAGATCCTGTACCATAGTTGGCACTTGCATGAAAACTCCTGGGTGGTCAGTAGTGGCCCAATATATCAAGGCTTAGTGTATTTTCCTCACCAATCAGGGTGGAGCGACCATCGCCTTGCGGGTAGCGCTGGTATCGTGGAACAGGGAATGGAGGCAGCCGGTGAAAGAGAGTATGGAGAAGGGGCTCCAGTCTGGAGGCTGACGGGTCAGAGGGGTAGAACAGGTTGAAGATCTGAGAGCAGGCAGGCTGCAGTTGAGTCACTGCCACAAAGAGGTGTGAAAAAAATGGATATAATTACAGTTTTCCTAATAAACAGTTTGTTTTCTATAGAAGAATGTAGTGAAACTGAAGGCTAGCCACTGCAATGTGGTGACAGCACTGCAATTCACTCTACTAGAAGAGCTGGACTGTCTGGCAGGTGTAAGCTAACGGTACATAGAGAGGACAATGTGCCACAGCCTGTGTGGTGCTTTAGTACGACACACTCACCTTCAACCAAAGGAAGAACGGTGCGTCTCATGGCTAACACTAGTCCAAGTGGACAGCCTAGCAGGAAACATTCTGACACTTCGAAGTCAAAACGGCCTGGATTCAACATTGGACTGCTTCCTCCAGGGCTTAGGTCTATTCCATCCTGGACTTGACTACACACACACACACACACACACACACACACACACACACAATATTAATGCACGTATAAATCAGCTCTAAGGAATGATAGTTTGATAATAACATAATAAGATTTGCATACAAAAATCACATACTCTGGAAGGTTCTATTGAAAACAATAAGAGGGTGGGTGTCTGGAACAGGCATTAAACCTGAACAAATCCTTTAGTCTATATCATCCATAATATCAAGAAGCCTCAGTCACCATCCTTGACAATCAAATGTGTGGAAATAGGATCTGTGACTTGTGCTTTCCCAGCAGTGGGATGTGAGATGGAGGTGCCATGTATCAACAGGTCCGTTTAAGGAATTTATATTAAAAATTGGATATCACAGAAATTATTGTAATGAGATGTTAAGTCTTTCAATATCCAAACCCCTCACAATCAAAAATCCATATACAGTTTTGGAGATGGTTTCAAAAATCGGTGGCTAATCCAATCTAATGCTTATGTGTCACACTTCTGGCATCCACTGCCATGTGCCTAGCTACTGCAAGGAATCCCCAAGAGCAGCATTAGTCTACGTCACAGAGAAATTCAGGCAACTGCCGGAAATTTCGAAACAGCAGTAAATACACATACTGCATGTTTATACTGGCACAGGCGGTATAAGGCTGCGGAAGGCGGATGAGCCACATAATGTCAGGGTGAAGAAGACTGACACATTCACTGAGACCATGGCCAAGTTCCAGCTACACACATACGCTCAGGCTTATCAGGCTAAACTGATATATGCAGTTGATTTAAATGCTTGTATGAAATTTTGAGAAAATGTAACACAAAAGCACATATTCCTATCTTGTATTACCTTAGCTGTGACAAGAATGTGCCATAATTCTGATGAAACCATGAGAATTTGTTGTGTTTGACACTTACTTGCTGAGAACTGGATGTTGCTGGCTCTTGGAGGAGTCAATAGCACACGAATCACTCTGTTTGCGAGTAAGCCGTTTCCTCCTCACACGACTCCCATCAGGGGCTGAGATGTCAGTGTTGCTTTTGCTAAGGCGCTTACTAGAGCGCAGACCCAAGTTGGCCTCTTCTAGAAGTGCTGGGTTATTCTGTGTAGGATGGGAGCATACAATACAGTCGGGATAAAAGAATCACCATTACAAGTAACACTTTCACCTAAGCGCAAAAAAATCCAATTCCTTTTAAATAGTGAAATGTATTTCAAGAGCAATGTAATACAGTCACTAAAAGAGTCATATTAGGAGATGGTGCTTCTGAGGACCAAAATCAAAACTGGATTAAAAGGGAACTTATACTGAAACCAGAAAACGATAACCAATCGCCTGAGATAATGGACAGACAAGAGGGGATTGAGATAACTTTGGAGGACCCAGCCTCACGCTACACAGTAGTTTTAGCATGAAATACGTACCCTTAGGCTCTCCATACTGTTGTGTCTCCCTCTGTGACTAGGATTGTCATGTTGTGGGCTGTTGCTGAAACAGAGTGCATCAAAACACAGCACGCCACCCACACAGTCACCCAACAGACACACCTGGTCAACAGCACATGCACACGTGCACACACACAAACACACAAGTCAGAACCTACAGCAAAAGCAGTGTGCTGTAAAACAAAGCTCCACAGTAGGAGATCTTAGTGGTGGCCACAGCTCAATAGGACTGTCAATAATCTTAATTACAGCAACAAAACAACTGTTGTGGCTTCTTAATGACTTATTTGACATGTATTAACTGTGCTTGGATTTCAGTTGGATTTGGGAGTCAGTGATAAACACACCGGAAAATTCAGAGCCTAATCTCAGATACATATATTTTTCTTTCTTGGTCAGGAGGTTAAGTTGTTAGTCATGCAGCATCACAATGTTTTGGTCCACTCAGGTGAAGCACACTGAATATAAACATAAGCAAAGTGCACTTCCTCTAGAAATCACTTGTGCATTGTAATTTAATGATCATGTGTTACTGAAAGCTAATCATGGGAGCTAAGGAACCAGGACAAATGGGCATAGAGAGAGTCCTCTCCCACTGTGGAATGACTCATCGGTGGATGACTCACACACCCCCACCAACTTCTCCCCATTACTACTGTGATGACGGTTGCCTTTTAATGCTGTACTAATACCAGCTTAGAACAGCTTCTCAGTAACAAAGCCCTAACTAGGCTATTATGAGACATATAATAAAAGCTAGTAAAATAAAATAGTAAAAAAAAAAAAAGGCTGGAAAAAAGCTAAGCCTGTTTTCTGATCCACAGTAGACCAACCTGGCCAGTGAAGCCTTGTCCTTCTGGGGACTGCAGGAAGCTGTGGTAGACCTGATTGGCTTGGGCGATAACTATTGCCACAGCATCCTGATAGTGTGGTGCTGCAATAGCGAGGAGGGGAAGTGCTGCTAGTGGAAGGTGATCCACACTGCTCGACACACAGCTCTCATCATAACTGTAAGGGTTCAGGCTGTGACAGAAACAGAGAGACAGGTCATGTAGACAAAACAAAGCAAACTGTTACAAATCTTGCAAATGCAACCTTGATCATGAGATGCCAGCCTTGGACTAACACAGATAACATTATTTTTGTCTTTTTTTGGGGAAAAAATTTAAAGCTTTCCTTGTTCAGAGAGATAGAGAGATGACGTTAGAGACAGTGTCAATGGCAGGGACTGGGTCTCCTCCAAGCCTAGGCCCTTTATGCCCTTTAAAGTCATGTCGAACACATGTAGCAGGAAGCTCATTCTCTCTCTCTATTTTCCTTTCTTATTAAAGAATGCTCTTTCAAGATCATGCAATAATGTAGCCTGATGTCCCCCCTAGCATACAGTATCTTGTTTAAAGGATGTGCAGGTATGAGATGAAGTATGTGTTCTCTGTGATGTTTCTTGTTAGTAGTTAAGTCTTTAACACTTAATATGTTGTTGTTGTTGTTCTTTCCCTGTTAGGGATCGCCACAGCAGATCATTGGTCCGTGTATTTGATTTGGAACAGTTTTTACACCAGATGCCTTCTGATGCAACCCTCCCCGATTTTATCTGGGTTTGGGACCAGCACTGGGGGTGCACTGTCATGTGCAACCCCAGTGGCTGGGGTTGGTTCCCTGGCTAGGAATCAAACCCGGGCTGCAGCGGTGATAGCGCCAAGGCCTAACCACTGGTCCTCCAGGGACCTTTAACACTTAATATGACATTCCAATATATAGAAGACTATGCATTGTCACTAGATATAATTATTATTACATAAAATTACTGCCCAGTTTTAATGCTTTGTGGCAAAAAAAATTTTAGAGTTCTAGAAAGATTTAAACTTTAGCCACACCATGAGAACAGCTCTGCTCTCATCAGTGCAGTAAATGACAGCATGACAATCACAAAATCGCCAGATAAAGCATCACACATTAAGACTGTCAATCCTAACTTATTCGTTTTTGGTAGTTTTTATTGAAGTTGAAATTTCGCAAGCCTCCCTTGTTTGAGTCAAGTCAGGGTAACGTGCAACTCAAGTATGACTCAAGTCCCATTCTGTAACTTAAGTCCTGATTGTTACTTCCAAGTTCACATTTTAGTATTGCATTATACAGTTTTGACATTGTAGGTTTTATATCCCAGGAGAATTAGGCTGCTTGGCTCAGTGATTAATTAATATCAAAATGTGATACACACATTTTGCTCTCTCTTAAATGCCAGCTGCAGCTGAGATCTCTATGCAGTTGTACGGCTCAGCGGAAGGAAGGATAGAAGAAGCAGTCTAAGTCTATTCATCAGCCCTAGCTTTGAAGGAGGCGTGCAGCTAGAATCATGTGTAAGCAGGGTCACCTTTCTGATATAAATTAAATAGCTGAAGATCAGCCTTCACTCACAGTGTTCATTAGCTTTAATTTTTACCTTTCACAAGCCCTCAAAGTTCTACTCCTTAAACATTTCCAAAGGTCTTCAGACAGCAAACTCTCACATTACTCTTTGGTATCATCTCACTAAGCAAGATTGAATCCTGAGGATGCCACAGCCATCCATGGCCGGGAGCAAAATTGTCCGAGCTCTCAGGTTGGGAGAGATACTCTCTTTCCTCTGCCAAACACAGCAACACTAGCCAATCGCGGGTATCTGCAGGCATCATGTATGTGGAAAAGGGCATATACTGCCCTGTGACACAGCATGAGTAGCAGTCGAGATGCATTTGGTTGGCTTCACATGTCTTAGAGGAAGCATGTGCTAGTCTTCACCTACTCCAGTTTTTAGCTGTTGTATGATAGGAGAGAGCTGGCTGGTGGGTGGGAATTGGAAGGTGACCAAATTGGGGAGGAAAAACTGTCTGGAGTGAAGCTTGAGCTTTTAAGTAGCCAGTAAATCTAGATTTTTCAGCAGTGCTATTTTTTGGGCACTCATTTAAAATCTCAGTGAGAGGAATGATCAGTTTTCCCTACATTAAGTCAGTGGCGGGACATGGGCAAAGTACAGTTAATGATATTGTGCGAACAGTACATTACACATAGCACCAGAGCCTTAAAAGTAAAAAATGTTGTCCCTCAAACAAGAAATTCTTAAGGAAAGCAGCAACAACAGAGATGGCTCAAATTTCTCTGACATCCCTGGATTTATTTATTTTTTTTAAAGAATATGTTAGAAGAATGACTCAAGGGTGCTCTCATTTGAGCCAGGTATTCTCAGCTGAACAATATGGATTCCCCTACTGCTCCTTTTTGGACTAGAAAATATGACAAGAGAGATGAAGCACATCTATCAGCTAAGACACCAAGATGACAAAGAAACAATGGACCCACAAGAAATGCATTCATTTGCAATTTCATTTTATGAGAAACTATCAGTCAGAGGCTTGTGATAACTTTGTAGCTGCTGAGCTCCTCTCAGAGGAGGACAGATGGGCTTTATAAAGCCCATTGACTTTCAGTGAGATAACAAGAGCTGTGCGAAAACAGAACAATTGCAAGTCACCTGTGCTGGATGGCTTTCAGCAGAATTCTGAAAATGTTTCTGGAACCTAATTGGCTCTGACCTGTATGACATCTTGTCTGTGAGTATTGATCAAAAGACTCAGGAGACCTTGGCTTCTTTGTTTTGGCATCCTGTATCTGTGTTGATTTTAAAATATTATCTAAAGGGTTGATCTATATATCAACCATAATACATGATGGCCAGATGACCCTAAATGAACATTTTTTTTTTCTTTTTATTATTTATGCAACTATCAACAACATAATCACATACTAACACAAAAGGCAATACTACATGTATACAAACAAAGAGAAAAAAAAGAAGAGACATAAAATATTGTGTACTTATAAAAAAAATTATATAGGAAAATCATATAACTGATTTTGAAACTAACTTATGAAAGGCCTCCACATAACAGCAAACTTGGAGCCAGAGCCCCGCAAATTCAGTCTTATTTTTTTCCTAACCTAATAACTGTAGCACATCTCCAACCTACTGTTTAAAAGAAGGGGGGAAAGCCTGTTCGCAACTGAGCAGAATCAATCGCCTTGCCAGCTGAGAAGTAAAAGCTATGCAGTTGTCACTTTTTGAAACAGTGGTCTTTTCACCGACAATACCAAAGATGGCTGTTAGAGGGTTTGGACTTACATTTTTATTAAATATCTTAGAATACAACTCAAAAATCAGTGACCAGAAAACAAACAGTTTGGGACAAAACCAAAACATATGGGCAGGTGTAGCGAGGGATTGCTTGCATCTAAATGAACTAGTTTTGATAACTTGTACGCCATCATCTTGAGCCTTATACCCTCACTAGGGAAACAATTTCACAGGTTTGCAGCTCCAGGTTTTCCAGACGTGGCTCTAGTTAAACTAGCAGCTTATGTGGATGACTTGGCTGTTTTATCATAAACACAGATAACGTAATAAATCTATCCAAACTATCAAAAAGCTCAATCTGCCCACATTAATGAGGCAAATCTTTACTTTTTGGGGACTGGCGAAAACAGGACCTTATCAGCTTCCGTCACAATGTAATTGGACCAAGGATGGTTTTCGAATGATCAGAGTCCTCTTTGGATTGATGAATACATGAAGAAGCACTAAGAAGCCTACGCAGACCGTGTTATAAGACAGCTACAGAGATGGAAGTGGATCCTCCCAAAGCTATCTTACAGAGGAAAGACCTGTGTTGTTAATAATATAACAGCCTCAATGCTCTAGTATAAATGTACAATTCTGGACACCCCAGAAGCCTTGCTTATGCATATTCAAGTCTTTTGTCAAGTTTGTGGTGACAGTCACAACAGGCTTCCTCCAGGAGTTTTATATCTTTCAGCAGCATTTGTGTCTTGTGGACACTTGTTTCTGTCTTAGGTTGGTTGTGTCCATGGCCATTACAAAATCTGATTGATTTACTATCTGTACGACAACAAGGGGTCTCATTTATTAACTTTGCATATGCATAGTTTTGTGCGTAAACAATTAATGCGCACGTTTCTATGCATAGAATGTGATTTATTAAGCTTTGCTTGTGCATGAGAATGTGTGTAAATTTCCACACACTCCTGATCATGCATATGCAGGAACCCCTAGAGGTAGAAAATTGTACTAGTGGTTAAACTGAGTAAGAGGTGCTTCTATCCCACTTACTGTCACATCATCATATCACCATAATTGAGAGAATAATTACATGATTCTGGTGCTCACAACAAGGTGAAGACAGGTGCCACAGATGGAATATAAAGTAAAATCATGCAAAAGGCACATCTAAAGATTGACTGGGATGATGCCTTGTTTGAAGATTTGTCTCTTGCATCTTTGTGGAGGGAGGAACATGGTTTTTAGAGACCACCGGAATCTATGTTGAGAGTAATCAGTAGCTCATCAGTCGATTTTGCTTGTTCAGTGCAATTTTAATTGATCTCTATTCTAGCGCTTTTAGCCACGGGTACTTTACAAATAGATACGTGTGGCATTTCCCAACCAACTATGAGTCGAATAATGACACAAATCTGCATTCATGGCGCTCACAATGCAATACATTATATTTCTAAACCCGGCGGCAGAAAATGATGAATTTACACACCATTGCAGAGTTTGTACAAGTAATTGGGGCAATAGAATGCACATACATATGCATAAAATCTTTTTAAAAAATCATATTTATTTATTAGACAAACAACTTGTAAAAGTGCCAAATATACCATTTCTGTCTTGCTCTACTTTGTGCAACAGTATATCTACTTCTGTAGCACCATGGGTGCCTTCTCAGGCAAATACACAACCACCTGCAAGGGCTTTTTTATAACGCAGCGCTCTCATGCCGGTAATCAGCGTAAACGTGCAGCACCTGGCTGCGCCTCTTCATAAACCCTCCGATTGCCTCACTCCGCGTGGGGACACAGTTCTGTGCCAGCCAGCAAAATGGTGGCATGCTGCTCTGTTTAGTTGATGTTGAGATTTATGTTCAGAAAAGTAAATATTGAGGTTTATGTTCAGAAAAGTGAATACTGAGGTTTATGTTCAGAAAAGCGAATATTGAGGTTTATGATCAGAAAAGCGAATATTAAGGTTTACATTCAGGAAAGTAAATATTGAGGTTTACAATCAGAAAAGTGAATATTGAGGTTTATGATCAGAAAAGCGAATATTGAGGTTTACATTCAGAAAAGTGAATATTGAGGTTTATTATCAGAAAAGTGAATATTGAGGTTTATGATCAGAAAAGCGAATATTGAGGTTTACATTCAGAAAAGTGAATATTGAGGTTTATTATCAGAAAAGTGAATATTGAGGTTTATGATCAGAAAAGCAAATATTGAGGTTTATGTTCAGAAATGGAATACTGAGGTTTATGTTCAGAAAAGCGAATACTGAGGTTTATGTTCAGAAAAGCGAATACTGAGGTTTATGTTCAGAAAAGTGAATATTGAGGTTTATGATCAGAAAAGCGAATATTGAGGTTTATGTTCAGAAAAGAGAATATTGAGGTTCAGGGCTGGATATATTTAATATTAAGGAAAGATTTAGTTATTTCAAGTTGAGCCAAATGACAGGGCCATTTTGTGTTATTTGCCCACCACGCTGCGGTGCTTTTGCGTTAAGCCGTAGGCTCTGAGTTTCCCAAGCCTGTACCCTTCACAGTATCTGGTTCGCGCCCCGCTCGAGGTGCTCATTTTTCAGGCTGAGCCATTTGGCAGGCTGTCTATCACA